GGAATGATGGCCCTTGTGCTCTGTGCAGGAGTTTACAGAAGTTGCTCCTGTTCATTCAACCATCTGGATATCACTTAACATCCAGTGTAACTGACCAGTGATGTGTATATGGTGAGGTTGGAAGGGAGTCTTCTATCATGAGCTCCTTCTGGAAAAACAAATGATTAATTCCAGCAAGTACCGCTCCCAATAAGCCAACTCAAAGTAGCTCTCCATGAAAAGCTTTTGGAATTAGTCAACAGAAAACATATGACCTTCCATCTTCCATCAGGACAACACAAGACTACATGTTTGTTAGATGATGAGGCAAAAACTGTTACAGCTTGGCTAGGAAGTTCTGATTCATCTGCCATATTCACCAGATATGGCACCTTCTGATTTCCATTTATTTTGGTCTTCACAAAATTCTCTTAATGGAAAAAATTTCAATTCCCTGGAAGACTGCAAAAGTCACCTGGGTCAAAAAGATAAAAAGTTTTGGGAAGATGGAATTATGAAGTTGCTTGAAAGATGGCAGAAGATAGTGGAACAAAATGGTGAATACATTGTTCAATAAAGTTATTGGTGAAAATAAAAATGTGTCTTATTTTTACTTAAACACCGAATGAACTTTTTATACAACCCAATACTCGCTATTGGGAGCCTTGTTTTATATTGTAGCATATCCTTTTTGTAGCCCTTGGCTCAGCTATGCACGTAGATTTTTACTTAGGGATTTATTTTTCAGAACTCAAGCAGAAATAAACCTTTGTATAAAAAGCCAATAATAGCACAAATTCACATTTGTATATTCCACAACTTACATGTATTTATATATACATTTTCTCATTAAATCCTCATATTATCTGCTTGCATCTATTTTAAAGATGGAGTAAGTTGAAATAAATCAAATGCCTTGTTAAAGCTCACACAGCTAATAAACAAAAGGTCTACTTTTTTTTTTTACATCATGTGAAGAAATTCAAGTAAGTGAAAATTCATGCACATGCTTTTGTTTCTAATGGAAAGGAAAATCACATTTAAAAATGCTGCAAGCATTTTACTGCAGATCCCTGAGAAGATGAATGTAGGGAAATCCTTAGTTAGCTTTGCAAATCACCTGAAAACATTCTATTTGTAAACATACTATTTGGTTTGTGAAATTAGCATAACCTCCACCCACATTCATCAATTCTCCTATTTTTGACTACTTTTGTCCATCTTCTCTTATTGTTTTTTGCTCACAAGTTTAAAAAAAACACATGTACCTGTCTAAACAGAGCAGCCTCATGCAAAATCATAAATTTCATTTTAAAAAGGAAACAAATGATAACTAAGAGAACTAACTAAATATATACATTTACATTACTTACACTACCAGAATTTATTAGATCCACTGCAAAATTACTTTTAAGGCTGCTCTTGTATTTGTAAGATACCAAATTAGACACAGAATACTTAGTTTTTATGACTTATTTAACATCCATTTGAACCAACTCATACTACTGAAATAGATTACATTAAAATTTGTCATACCCTTTCAAAAGATTAGAAACAAATAGACAAGTTGATGGCTGGATTTATTAGAAATGTAAATAAATTAAGGAAATGTGAGTTCTGTAAAACAAGAAAATAAACTAAGCTTTCTATGTTCATGATTTATGTCCAAAACTTTTCTTACTTGGAAATAAACTTCATCTAGTCATTATTAAAGGGAAGGAACTATTTCACCAAAATAGAATTTTTGTAATAATTTAAATTTACTATTTGGGAACCAACACTTTAATTTTATTATGGATGACAGTGTCTCCCAAATACATCATACACTTTTATGACTTCTTAAGTAGAGAGTGCTTTACACATTATGAAATGACTCATGATTATAAAATTGATGAGTGTACTCTGTCATAAACCCAGCTCCAGTAACTGTTAAAATATGAAAAGCTATTTACTTCTAAACTAAACAACCCAAATTGCTAATATATTTGAATGTCTCCATTTGCTTTTTAATAAATACACTTTTCCTAAATTTTTAATAAAAATTTTAAGCATACAGTGAAGTTGAGAGAATTTTATAGTAAACACTCACACATGCAAAGCCTAGATTCTACTTTTCACATTGTACTGGACAATGTACTTGCTCTGGCACATATCTGTGCATCTGTGCATCCCTCTGTCCACCCTTCTATCTGCCTTATTTTTCTTATTTATTTCAAAGTAATTGCAGATATTAGTATGTTTCTATCTAAATAATTCAGCATACAGATCTTTAACTAGAGTTCAGTAATTAATGTAGCTTCTTTGTTTGGGGTAAAATTTATGTAACAATGGCACACAGTTGATGAGTTTTGACAAATACAAACACTAGTACACCCCAAAGCCTATCAAAATTTCATTGCGTATTTTTCTCTTTAATTTAAACAAAAATTATAATAAAAAACACATAACATAAAACCTTAACCATTTTAAGTGGCATTAAATATATTCATAATATTATACAATCATAAGTACCACTCATCTCCAGAACTTTTATATCTTGTAAAACTGAAACTCTACACACATTAAAAAACAACCCACTATTCACCCTTCCTCTCAGTCTCTGGCAACCACCTTTCTACTTTCTGTCTCTATGATTTTGACTATTTTAACTAACTCATAGGTGGAATCATAGAATATTTGTCTTTTTATGATTTATTTATTTGTTAGCACACTTCATAAAGGTTGATTCATACTGTAGCATGTCAAAATTTCCTTGCTTTTTAAATCTGAATAATATTCCACTGCATGTTTATACTACATTTTGCTTATCCATTCATCTGTCAATGGACATTTGGGTTGCTTCCACATTTTAGTTATTATGAATAATGCTGCTATGAGCATAGATGTACAAATAGCTCTTCAAGACCCTGTTTACATTCTCTTGGGTGTATATATATATATGTGGAATTACTAAATCATAGTAATTCTATTTTTTATTTTTTGAGGAATCTCTATTGTTTTCCACATCAATTGAATCATCCCCATCAACAGTGCATAAGAATTCCAATTACTCCACATCGTCACTAATGCTTCTGATTTTTTGATAGTAGTTATCCTGTTATCCTAATGGGTAAGAAATGATATCTGCTAGTTTTGATTTGCATTTCCCTTGTGATTAATGATCTTCAGCATCTTTTTATGTGCTTATTGGTCATTTTATAAGTTCTTTGAAGGAACATCTATTCAAGTTGTTTGCTCATTTTTGGATCAAGTTTGAATCGAGTTTTTTTTCTTGTTCTTATTTTTATTTTTTATTTTGAATTTTAGGACTGCTATGTATAGTCTGGATTTTTACCTCTATCAGGTAAATGATTTGAAAATATTTTATTCCACTCTATGGACTGCCTTTTTAATCTGTTGATAAAGGTTTCTGATGCACAAAGTGTTTAAATTTTTATGAAACCTAATTTGTCTATTTTTTGTTTGGTTGCCTTTGTCTTTGGTGTCATATCTGAGAAATCATTGCCAAATCCAATTTCATAAAACTTTTGACATACATTTTCTTGTCAGAATTTTAGGGTTTTAGATCTTATATTTATGTCTTTGACACATTTTGAGTTAGTTTTTGTATATAGTGTTAGGTAAGTGTCCGACTTAACTCTTTAGCATATGGATATCCAAGTTTTCCCACCACCATTTGTTAAAAAGATTGTCTTTTTCCATACTGAATGGTCCAACATACTTGTCAAAATCATTTGACCATACACGTGAAGGGTTCTTTTTTTTTTTTGTATGTTCTTTATTCTATTTCAGTAGTGCACTGTCTTGATTACTGTAGTTTTGTAGTAAGTGAATTTTACTCTACTTTAAAATCAGGAAATGTGAGTCCTCTAGATAATTTATTTATTTATTTTAAAAATTGTTGTTCAATTACAGTAGTGCCCCCACTTTCCCCCCATTATTCTCCCCTGTCCTACCCATCCTGCACCTTTCACATTCAATCCCGCCCCCACCCTGTTGTCTTCGTCCATGGGTACTTTATACAAGCTCCTTGAATTGACCCTTTCCCTTCTTTCTCCACTTATTTCCCTCCCTCCTCCCCTCTGGTCACTGTCAGTTTGTTCTTTATTTTCCTGTCTCTGGTTCTATTTTCCTCACTTGTTTTGTTAATTAGGTTCTACTGAAAGATTGTTTGGGCTATTTGGGGCCCCCTGAGATTCCATATGCCTTTAAGGATGGGTTCTATTTCTATAAAAATTATTATTGAGATTTTGGTAGTGATTGTACTGAATCTGTACGTTGCTTTGTGTAGTACTGATATCTTAATTTTAAGTCTCCTAATCCTTGAACATGGAATGTGTTCCCATTTATTTGTTGTCTTTCAACAATATTTTGTATTTGTTTTCTGTAATAATTGCCAATTTTATTCCTCTGGCTAAGAGATCCAGAGGTGATTTGAGGTTTACATTTTATAGTTGTTTCATCAAGAGTTTAGGTGCCCCCGTTACCCTTGTAAACTGGTTGCAAATTACTTGATTGTCTTATTTAAAAAAAAATAATCCTGTCTGTGACACATGCTCATTAAAAATTACATATAAGCAGAAAAAAAACTCACACCACACAGATAAGCAGTTACATTTTTGATGGATGTATATGTGTATACACACATGCATACACAATTTGGGATTTTTGTCTGACATACTGTGTGCTGATACTAAATATGCTGCTTTGCAACTGGTTATGTTTTACTTTACAATATGGGATGAACACATTTTCATGCATTTGTGTGAAACTTCCCAACTGAAAAATAGACCTGGAGAATGGGGTCAAAATACAAAATCCAGTAAGATGCTGGTAACAAGGAAGCTCCCTAAAATAAAAGTCCACCAGATGATTAAAAGTAAAATGAAGGTAAAAGATACATCAGGAAATGCTAACAGAAAGAAAGCAAGGGCCAGGTTTTACTATCAGATTTAAAAAAAAAATAGAATTCAAGGTCTAAAGCACATGGGATAAGGATGTCTGCATGAATGTCTTTGCTTCTAATACATCACCACAAACCTGTTTCTTGCTCTTCTTATTTCTTCCCTAAGCCTTTCCAATTCATCTACTCCTCTTAGCATTTCTTCAGGGTCCAAATGCCTCATAGGACTGTCCTCTTTAAATCCATGGACAGGATGAGTCAGCCCATTTCTAAGGTTTCCTTCTGTTTCCTGGCTTACACCTTCTTCAGAAGATGGAGGATTTCCTTCTGCCTCCTGTGGTACATACTGAATGGTGGTCTTCCTCAGCCTTTGGCATGTTCTGTAGTTTACCTTCATTTTCCTCAGGAGACTTTTGCATGTTGAGTATTTTCCTATTATTTCCTTTTTGAATAAATTAATCCTGCAGGGATCCAGGGAATTTGACTCCTTCTTCTCTCACTTGATTTGTGTTGCTCCCCAGAGACCAAGAGTCCTAAAAGGACCCTGGACACTTTACCCCTCAAACAACCTGGAGCAATATTTTGTAGTTTTTTATTATGCAAGTCTTTCACCTCCTTAGATAATTCCTAAATATTTTACTTGTCATATGTGTGTTTGTATTTTTTATTTCTTCATTACTTCATGTTGCTGTTTTGTATTTCTTGACACTTGTCCATTTCACCTAGCTTATTCAATTTTTTTGACATACAATTCTTCATAGTACTCTCTTAAAATCCTTTTCACTTCTGTAGTATCAGTGGTAATGTCCCTACTTTCATGTTTGTTTTAGTAATTTGAATCCTTCCTTAGTTAATCTAGCTAGTTTTACCAGTTTTGCTGATCTTTCTAAACCCCAACTTTTGGTTTTATTGATTTTTCTCTATTATTTTTCTATTTTCTATTTCAGTTGTCTGTGCTGTAATTATTCCCTTCCTTTGCTTGTTCTGGGTGTAGTTTGTTCTTTTTCTAGTTCCTTAAGTTATAATATTAGGCTATTGATTTGAAATCTTTCTTGTTTTGTAATGTAAACAGTACATAAAGAGCTATAAATTCCTTCCTTAGCACTTCTTTCACTGTATTTTATCAGTTTTGATATACTGTATTTTTGTTTTCTAATTTTCCTTGCAATTTTTCCTTCGATTCATTGGTTGTTTAAGAGTGAGTTTATTAGCACTGATCAGGTAGCTAAGTTGGTTGAAGCGTTGTTGCATGTACCAAAATGTTGCAGCTTTGATCCGTGGTCAGGGCACGTACCTACATTGAGGGTTTGATCCTCAGTCGGGGTGCAACTGATCGATTTTTCTCTCTCACATCAATGTCTCTGTCTCTCTCTCCTTCCTCTCTCTCTAAAATCAATCAACATATATTTGGGTGAAGGTTTAAAAAAAGAAAAAAAAGAGTGTTGCTTAATTTCCACACATGAATTTTCCAGTTTTCCTGGAAAATCCATTGTGCTCAGAGAACACACTTTGTATAATATCGATATTTTTTATATATAATGAGACATTATCTGTGGCCTAATATATGGTCTATTTTGGTAATGTCCTATATGTATTTGAGAAGAATGTTTATGCTATTATTGGGTAGATTGTTCTGTGTATGTCTCTGGATGTAGTTGTTTTATTGTGGATTTTTTTTTTAGCTCCTTTACTTCCTTAGTTATCTTCTGTTTGGCTGTTCTATCCATTACGGAGGGTGGGGTATTGAAAAGTCCAACCATTAATGCAGAGCTGTCTGTTTTTCCCTTCAATTCTGTCAATTTTTGCTTCATATATTTTGATGGTCTATTATTATTGTGAAAATGTTTACAATTATCATATCTTCTTTCTGTATTGAACCTTTTATTGATATATAATGTCCTTTGTCTTTTGTAAACTATTGTGACTTAAAGTATACTTTGTTTAATATTTGTATAGACATCTGTGCTTCCTTTTGGTTATTATTTGTGTGGAATATCTTTTTTCATCCTTTTACTTTTATTTTATTTGGGTCTTTGGAATTGTCTGACATCAGGGTGAGAGCCGGGAGGCAGTTTTCTCCCAGACAGAAATGCTGGGAAAGGCCATTGCTACCTTTCTGAACCCTCCCCTCACAGGACCATAGAGCTGGTAGGTGGGCACCATATCTGAGACTCCATCAACCTGGTTCACACCGTTTGCCCCACTCTAGTGATTCATTGAGGCCCTGCCCCACCCAAATTTTGGCCCTACCCAAGCTGTTTGTAGCAGCTTTTCCATATCAATGGCTTGTCTTGGCCTATGCTTCAGATTTTTCTAAATTCTCTTAAATAAGCAGCATCTGGCTTCAGTGAGCCCTGTACCTCTAGCTAATTGGCCCCAGGCCAAACACTAGCAGCAGCTGGTCTTGGCTCACAGCTTGGCCTTATCTGGGGCACCTCCAAGCCCAACTAAAATAGCTGCCATATGCAGATCACTCTGTAGTTTATGCTGTGTGACCCCAGACAGAACACAAGCAATGGCTGACACGGGATATGCCAATAGCAGTCAAGGCTTAACTACAAAAAGAGGGTGTACATTGTCCACATGGTGGGCATACCTTGAGTACCCATCTTGGGTGATAGGGGCGATGCTGTGTCATGGACCCTAGAGGACACTTACTACATTAGGCCACTCTATTAAGCCTGGGGGACAAAGCAGCTCTATCTAACACACACAAACAAACACTGGAGGCTGTCAAAATGAGGAGACAAAGAAACATGGCCCAAATGAAAGAACAACTCCATAAAACAAATTAAACAAAATGCAGACAAACAATCTACTAGATACAGAATTCAAAACACTGGTTATAAGGATGTTTGGGGAACTTAGTGAAGACCTCAAAAGCATAAAATAAAAATTCAGCCAGAAATGAAGGATACACTAATTGAAGTGAGGAACAATTTACAGGGAATCAACAGTAAAATGGATGAGGCTGACAAAAATAAATAAATACAATGAATCTCTTGTAGATAGCATATAGTTAGGTTATGCCTTTTTATACCTTCCACCAGTCTTATGTTTTCATTGTAGAATTTAATCCATTTACATTTAAAGTAATTACTGATAAAGAGTTCTGTCACTTTGCTATTTGCTTTATGTAGCTTTTTTGTCCTTCATTGTCAGCATTACTGCCTTCTTTTGTGTTTAGGTAATTTCTTTTAGTGAAACATTTAAATTTCTTTTTTATCAACTTTGTTTATATTTCATAGATATTGTCTCTGTGGTTACCATAGGTAACCTCAGCAACTTTCAGCAACATACGTTCAACTCTCTAAATTTCTATCAGCTTAACTTCAATGACATACAAAAACTGGTCCTCTGCAGATTCACCCCTTCCCTTTTCAGTTGTCAATGTTACAAAATTACATCTTTATATATTGCGTGCCACAACATATATACTACTCTTTTAAATGTAATTAATATCTTAAATTACACAGAACACAAAAGTAGAATTGTTACAACAATACTAGCTTTTAGAACTGCCTATGTATTTGCTTTTCTTAAGATGTTTAATTTTTCATATAGCTTTGAGCTATTGTCAGACATTCTTCTATTTCAACCTGTAGGACTTGAGAATTACTTACATGGAAGTTCTAGTGGTAACAAAATTTCTCAAATTCTGTTTACTGGTAATGATTTAATTTTTCCCTCACTCTTGAAAAAGTTTTACTGGATTATGGGTTTTCTGGTTGACAGTTTTTCTTTGTATTATATTATTAAAATTTGTTACTCTATTATTATAGTAACTATAATATTATTAAATTATTACATTATCTTACTATGATAATATATTATTAAATTATGTAATTTTATTAAAATATTTTAAAATTATGTTTTTGCAAATTTTAGTAAGTTGTGATGTTATTTCTTATTTTCCTTTTGGCAAATGTGAATGCAAAACTTTAGATTGTAAAAAGAAATGAAGCTTTATAAATAACCTGGATGAAAACAAAGTAAATATAAAGTGTTTGCATAATAGAAAGACTTTAAAAAATCTAATTAAAAATGAAACTATCCCAAGTTTTTAGAAACTCAGTTTCACAAAAAATTTAAAATGATAAACAAACAAAACCACAACCCTCTTTTTCCCATTCCCATCCCTCTCAAATTTCTTTCTCCGAAGGTAACTACTTCTATCATTTTCTTTCTAAAGTCTTCTTGAAAAATATATGCATGTAATAGCATATGTATAAAATGTAATTATATATTACATAAATCATAGTTACATATTACTTGTAATCTTTATGTGCTTGAGGCCATGCATGCTGCTCAGACTTCTGATAGTATAGGGATATTTCTATAATAACAAATAATGTACATATCATATTTTGTTCAGGTGGATAACAGATTTTTGTCACAACCTAAGTTATTTATTTATTTATTTACTTATTTTTATGATACTTTATTATGATAGTCTAGAACTGAAACTACAGTATCTCCAGGGTATGCCTATACAACACAAGCTCTGTATATATATATGCAGATTATTTTATTTATCATCACAATTATGTGAGGTAGATGACGTGGACTGATTTCCCCATTTTTCAAAGAAAGCTCAGAGAATTGAGGAAACACATTTAATGTGATGTAGCTTTAACTGGTACAGCTGGGATTCAAATCCAGGTTCTTCTGACTCCCCAGACTGCCTGGTGCCTTACTATAGGGAAAAAGTGGATTCAAGGACAACATCTGCATTGAAGCAGTTCATTCTTTCTGTTAATGTAATGCCTTCTTTATCACATATGAAATGGCTGTATTTATGGGGTCTGTTTCTGGAATATTTTATTTTTCCAATTTAATCTATTCATATAATCCTTCATGAATATCATGCTATTTTAATTATTGATACTTTAGCTTTAGTGTATGCTATAACATATGGCAGAAAATGTCTCCTCTCCCTTCTTTTCCTTTTCTTTTTCTTGGCATTTTCCTTGGTTCTTCTTGCCTATTGCCTTTCCAGGATAAACTTGGAATCTATTCATCAAATTCCAAAAAGAAATTGATTGGACTTTTTATTGGACTATATTGAATAACAAATCAATTTGAGGAGAACTGTCACTTTGCAATAGTGAGTTTTTCTATGTAACAACATGAGGCATCTCTCGATTTATTCAATTTCTTTTTATGGCCTTTGGTAACATTTTATGGCTTTATCCAAGCAGGTCTTGCCCATTTCTTATTAGATTTATTCCTAGACTTATAGTTTTGGTTGTGGTTATGAATAAGGTATTTCCTCCCCGGAGATTTTGTAATTGGCTATTGCTGATGTAGCATAAACCCCTGGCTGTTGTATGCTTTTCCATACAATTACCTTCTCAAACTTGCTTGTTATTTTAATGGTTTTTTAGTGCTATGTCC